TAAAATATTACCACTACTACTAGGTGCAGGGTTGCACGTGAGCTTTGGTCAGTGACGGGCATGTGAATAGGAAAATTCTTCTTTGGAGTGGCATGAACCTTTTTGAGATTGTTGGTGCCCACAGTATCTTAGTATCTCTGGTGCATATGCGTGAGCTGATCGCAATGAGATCCTATGTGCGACACTCCTATACATAGTTGGTTGATCAACTCAAATGCGTACTTCTGGTAACCTTACAATAAGCTAAAGTAGAGATAAAAGAAAGAATCTGCCACGTATACTTTGCATGTGTGAAGAACCTATAGATGAGAAACCGTCAGTCACAAGAATTAGTTCTCACCCTGCACTTGTTGCATTGTTTGAAACTTCATTCACCGCGTTGCGTATGTTGTTCTTCCCTACCGAGGGAGAGCTGACACCAGGCAGACCAGAACACGTATTGACGGATGTCATATGATCATTATGAGTGGGATAGTCTATCCCTGAGCGGCGTTGTAATGGGCGCGAGGGTGGATTCGAGTAAGATCGGGCGGCCCGATTAGACGGTGTTCTAGCCCCCGCGTCCACCAAGTTGCCCTGACTTTCAGTCATAGAATCGTATCTGGAAATGAGGAGGTAGAAAAAGGTCAGATTGTGTGAACCCAGGTTATAGTGAATAGTAAAAACAGTAAACCATCTTGTCACATAAACCTACTATCGGATTAAGACCATCGGAAAACTAAGCCTCGGAACTTAGAATGATGAGTCGAATAAGGACCCGATCAGGATAGGTGTTGCAAAGAGCCAGAAGAAAGTGCAGTTACCTAAGGGTGCCGATGAGGAGAAACAACTAACAACTGTCAGCTGAATATAAATTGAATAGCAATTACAAGAAAGCAAGCGAACCTGGTTAAACGAGGAATCTATTCAGCATACCAAGTTGCATGCTTAAGCATGATCGTAGAAACATTTGGTTCTACAATGAAACTCTGATTACCTACTATAACCGAACCTGTCAAACGCAGCGGCCAGAAAGTCACCGCACTTTTTAAACAACTCGCTTTCTTCTCTGTATATATCTCATTCGTATCCTCAGAAAGTGGCATGTGGGAGACTATTCCCATTCATAACGACCAATCTCTGTGTTCTAGCAATGAACTCTGTTCCCAGAAAGTTGCACGTAATTTTTTGCCTGCAGTTGGGCCTGATTGGTCGGCCCAAACTGTTCAATCGAACTACGGTTAGGCAGTAACCGAATGGCCTGAAGACTGATTGCCGTGTCAAAGCATTCGTTGCAGGATCGTCGTAATGTGACTTTTAGTCATTTCCAAATATTCTCAATCAGGAACAAGTTGCAGAGTTCGACACAGTTGTCAGAACCTGGAATGCCGCCGACTTGTGTTGCAAAAATGTTTCGACGTTTCGCAAAAAACGTCGATCACGTTATTTCCAGTGAACGAAAAGACGTGCAAAAGTTTGAACAAGTTAACCGCAACACACAACAATGGCTTCTACGCTTATGAGAGGCAAAAACCGAAATCCATAATGTGGAGAGTAAGATACACAGAAAGGCAATGGGGTTTATTGCGAGCTTGGGTAAGTGACATCTTAAAGCCTCAAGAGGGTGGTTTCGATGTGGAACGGACGGACACTGATGGAGCTTGTAAAAGGTGGGTGTTCAAGCTCGGTTCGCTNGAATCGAGATTTCACAAGACAAGAAAACAAACTTGTTGGATCGATGATTTGTTGCTTCCAGCTAATAAACTGGTCTTTACATAAGCTAACCTTTCGCCTTTAGCAATAACTCACTCTGGTGAATTGTTCTACACTGCTAAGGGATCTGGATTCTAACAAGAACGTTCGCAATTAGAGCCCCGGCAGGAACACAAAGGGTGAACACTGCAGAAAACTCTCAACTTGCATGAAATAACTGTCTTTTGCTCACCATTGATCATTCTGTAGTAGTCTAGCACATAACGCACCATCGATGGACCACCAAAGCGGATAGACCAAATCACAGTACATATTTTATTTGGATCTTTGTGTCCTCCTCATACTGGCAATCACTTCCAACCGTCAGTCAAAAATTCAAGAGTGCTTAACCAACAAATTCATTTTCGCTTAGATCACCAACACAAAAACGGCCCCCAGTAGAATAGGCTGGGGACGGACTGTACCTCCAACTGATAACACTTGTTTTTTTCATTTGGTAATGGATTTCGTACTTTGTTAGCTCTTCCACAAAAATATTGCTTGTTATTCCGGAAGAAGCTATGAAAGTAAAACGGCCTTCAGATAAGCAATGTCCCCCGTTCAGGAAGATTCTACGCAGTTATGGTCCTTTGAGATTAGATAATGCTTCATTCTCACGAGATCAAATAATCTGTTCAGGGATGCACTTTCAGTAAAATTCATTACGAAAGTTGCACTCGGTCAGTCCGCATAATGAGGACATTCTGCTGAGGCTAACAGAGAAGGAACCAATAAGTAAAGCTATGCATATCTGGATGAACGGTTGTTCGCTAGCAAAGCAGTCAGAGATGGCACTCGAACCAAAAGTATGTATGAAAATTTTGTATTTTAGGTAAGATGTGAAAATGAATCTTTTGTATGAAATCGCCATTACCATGAAAAACTTACTCATTATCTGTGTACATCGGATTGTGATGACTGGCCATTAGGTCGTCTTCTAGATGATCGGCTGGAACAGCTCTAGGATGGGTTTCGTCCTGTGATGATGATGTTTTGATCGGTCCGACTGTCAGATCATCTCCCAGGTCGGAAGCGGCACAAGCGCGTTCGGCCGCCAGGAATGAGTCCGTGGAGGACAGTGAAATCGGACGCAAATCGCCAGGTTTCGTTGCCTTGTTCGATAGTAATGGCAACATCAGATGTGATTTATCGACCACATTTGACGGGCTCTGAACCATCTGAAGGCACCAGACGACAGAAATATACATATGGAAACAATTAGAGTGTGATAAATCTCATTTGGGGTTTGTAAAAAAAATTTGAGCTTCAGACAGTGAACTAATTAAAGGGAAACTGGAGATATGTGGAGTGGTTTAAAGACATCCTAATTAGGGTTCGGAAGTCAACGCGACCTATTTTCCTAGTCTTCGTATTTCCACAGGAAGATTTCAATGCCAGAAAATTGACTGTACAGTTGTATGCTTAATAAGTAGGAGGGGAGTCAGAACAATAAAAGAATTAACAGACCAACAAGCCAACTCATCCCGCATATCACTCATTTTAATTTCCTACATGCGTAAAATAATAAACCACAACACATTCAATGGATGAAAAACACTCCGGAAAACATTGTTTTCTGATATATGACTCGTTTGAGCGCGACTATGAGTGATAAAGAACTAAAAAGTCGTTAAGCTTTCAATCCACTCTCTCGGTATCTGTTGACTACTAGAAGTTGTGGTTTTCCATAGGATAAGATTGCACATTCGCATCATTGAGTTCCATTCTACGACAGATCTATCACAGAAACCATTCGGGATTTCTAAGGATCCGACCGGGCAATCGGGAATGAAAAACAAAAGCTATCAATAAATTTGTGAACTTGCGCCAGGTTAGACCACTGGACCACTAGGATGTATGTTTCACTTATGCCCTGGAGTAGTGGTATGTGAGGCGTTAGCATGTGAGATGCGTTTCCGAGAAATAGGTGATGATATTCTATGATATAATTAGTGTTTGAACGGCTATCGATAGTCAATGCTGGTAATGTGTTGCCAACATACACAAGCAATGCTTTGGGGACAGTGATGGATAAATACGAAAAAACCTATCAACAATGAAAGAGTAGTTTCCGTAGATACGAACCGAGAAGCCGTGAGGTATAATACAGTACAATTTCCTTTAAATGACAGTCAGATATCCTGACGGTGTTGCAGTTACTTGGGGCTAGTAAAAGTTAGCCTGAACCTGGTTGTTCGGTGTCTTCCCCTAATCAGTCGGTGGTTACATAACACTTGAAGCAAAAGGAATGTACAACTGAATCAAACTGCTTACAAACCGAGGTGATAGCCGTAACAGTTGTCCAACAGTTTTAAAGGAATATTTTGCAATTGAATGAGAATGAACCTCATGATCTCATCTTTTGGATATTCTATGACATATGACATTCCTTTCGTAAGCCACCGTGAACCATTGTTTTTTCCATTTACCCTAGCGTATTGGTTTTGAATGAACACTTACAATGAAAAATCAAAACGACAGAATCCAAAGCTTTAATATGATCGGCGGTGGGTATCTCTGATTTTGACTGGTCACCCTCCCTTGGAGCCACAACTAGGACAACTTGCCTCAATGGTTACAAGCGGGTTTGTATTTATATTCGTATAGATTTCTGCGTGGACAGATGTCCGCATCTCAGTCACAAATTACACAACCTTATCGTAAGAAGGACATAATACAAGCAAACCATTTAACCACAAGGTTGTTGAGAAACTCAAAAGAAACGCGCTGCCGGTTTACAAGGATTCTAGCGAGATAGGGAAATGGAGAATTTCTGTAGAGGTTAATGCAGTCATATTCAGTATATCAATACGCACGATGGCATCATAGCGAAAGCCATTTCAGCATCATCATCTGGGCTGAACAGATTGTGGCACAATCATTGTCGCGACCAAGAAATTAAATAGGGGGGCTAGTGTTAGTTTTCCCTGATCACACACTGGAACCACAAGGCAAGTTACGGATTGACCTGTGAAAAGTTGTTCACAACAGAATAATTCGGATATAACAGCTAATAAAAGCATTCCGTGTGCGCAGTCTGTCACGAACGCTGACTGGTGAGTGTTCACAAGATGAACGTGGAACCCAAATGGAAGTAAAATTTCTCAGACCCAAGAGTAACAACCTTAAACAGACCGTGGTACGGCGCAGTGTATCCTAACCAGCGCTTAGGGTATAAAGACAGCGGGATTTCATCGAATTATTCCCAAACACGGAACTCACACTGGTCGGCTTATCCAACGGGCGCGTTGAAATGTTCGAGTCATTTTGTAAAGGATAGTTGGGCCAGTATTCACCGCGTCGAACAACCCCATTCCATGGCCCAGGGGACATGTGCTTTTGCGTCAGCTGATCGGGAAAAAAACCGGGAACAGGCTGTGTTTGTCTCCGGTCAATCACCTGAGAAATGACTCGGCCGTGGTTAGGACCTCTGCCAACGGTTGGAGGTTCCGTATTTACTATAGAATAATCTGATAGCGGAAAGAAACAGTACTCGCCACTGAAGGTTATCGAAGATAGTTCACATAGCAATAAAGATAAATAACAAACACTACCAAAACCATTACATAAAAAATACAAAATTATACATATATGTACATATCATTGGTTTGCGAACCAACATGATGCGAAGGCGATGCAGTCAGTAAAAAATGGGGTGGGATTGGACTACAGAATAGAACGATATGAAAAACAAGCAACTACAGAGAATCGAAGAGAGAACATCTGACAGTGTGTGCATCAAACGCAGCGAGTGAACGGACAGTAAAAAGATTTATTCAACTATGGATATCGCTACTCTAAGCCGTACGACTTAGAGTATAAAACTTCAAAAGACCCTACTGGGTTGGGCACAATAGTTAACCGGTGAACGGTGAAACTGTGGTGGCAGGGTTTGAACCAAGAAACTTGAAGTTCGGAACAGGTCCAAGAATGCGAGTCAACTCAGACAATCACTACCATAAATGAGAGAGAAGCCGTGTCTAAATCCCAACAACGCCTACTTGCTTCTCCGCTTCTGTGTGCAGCACGACAGTCGTTTGACTGATCGTTTCTTTGTTCATCAAAACCTTATTGCACAAACTTTCACATCCGGCTAAGTTCAGGCATGAGCCAGATGAATCACAGAACAATGAACTTTGCAACAAAGAAAAGAGCCCATGAAACTGTCAGATTGCCGAGGCCAAAACAGGTGAATTTTCTTGGAGAATTCACAATCGGAACCATTGGATGGCCAAAGCCTCATCCACGAGGCAGCGGGGCGGTATGAAAACCGCACTCCATTGGGAGTTGATGACCAGTTTATCGAATAATATACTCTTTGAACGGCGTCAAATGACCAAGGTATCTAATACACTTCGATGCCCAATCGAGCCGGTGACCACGGAAACAACTAAAAAATGTAGGTGGGTGGGGTTTTTGTATACTTCCTCTTGGTTGGTTTGGAATCAGGGTTTTTAGCCAAGTTCCCTAGGTGAACTACCAGTGGTTCACTAACCTGGTTATTAACACAAATGTAGTCTTCTCGTTTTCTCATTTTGGTGAGGAAAGATCACCACGGACTTACTCATCAGAGGCTATTCGAGACGCCTGGTCGTATGGTAGCACTTCAAGAGATGCATGGTTAGGGTAACTATCCACAACTCAAGACACCCACTCTTAATCACATTGAGATTTCAGATCATTTACTCAATAAAAAGGAATGCATAAAATGGAGCGAAACATACACGTACCGTGTGAGCCTGCCGGGAATTGAGAAACTACACCTCGGCGTCGATTTACAATTGCACTGGTTGGATCACTACTTTTGCGGTCCGGAGCTGCACGTAATTGGGAGAACGGAGTATTTGTGGACGCGGGTGGATCTAATAGACTACCATTATTCATTCTTGACTGATGTCCACTCGATGCATCATCGGTAGGACCTTCAGGTGCCGGTCTTTGTGGATACGGAATAATGGGTGGAGGAATTGCACATGTAGATGGATAGGGTCGTTGATGTGGCGGAGGCGGTGGCACACCATGAAACTGTACCGGAGATTGCATGACGGACACATGAGAGGTCGGTGGAGTTGAGACAAGGCAAGGATCCGGGGTTTTCGGCGACACGCCGAACGGAGGAACATCCGATTGAGTGTTCTGCAAACCCCAAACCGAAATGCCTAGACCTAACTCTATCGGAGCACCACCCAGCGGTATTTGAGACATTCGAGATGACTGCCGTGCGGGATGTGCGACGGACGAATCAGGATAGCGAGCAGATATGACCTACGGATGTGAGAAAGGAAATTTGTGATTGCTGATAAGAGAAGGGAGATCAGCCAAGACCAACTGAATCCGAAAAGGGATAAAATATATAAGAGAAAAACTTTTTTCTATTTTCCCCATTCTTATTAACCCAGAAGAAAGGTTTCTTTTTTAAACTCCGTGTGGATTTGTGGGACCTTGTCTAATATAATGGAAACGGGGACATCTAAAACCCGAAAGAAAAAGTTATTTTCACTATAGCATATAACAATGGGTAAAATAGTATCGTTATCAAAATGCATTTATTGTGTTTACATTTCTAACCAGTAATTGTTTATGAACAATGATGAGCATGGGCACAGAATTCGACTGGCTATCCTTCAGAAAATATCTTGCTAAATAGTCCTCAGGTCATCTTATCAACTATACACTGTAGAGTTACTCATTCGGATCATGTATTGAATATGTCTACCAGTGTTCGAATCTAAGACTCGGTACACAACAGGAGCCTGTAACCTGTTGCAACAACTGACACTCGGGCTGCCTGGAATTGACGAAACAAATTTCACATTTGTATGTGAATTTATAACTTTGTAAATAAAGCAGGATTTTTCAGTTAAAAAATAGGCCGTTTAAAACTATATTAACATATAAGACAGACAAAAGTGGATGAAAAAGCAAAAAAAAAACAGAAATATTTATTTTAGTCACTGAATTCCTTGTGACTTAAATCCTATTTATCATCACACAAGCTGAAAATGATACCGAAGAATCCTAGTATACGTTTATTGGGAAGGGAATAAGTCTGTATTGTAATCGTGCCGATAGCGAAATGCAGATGCCCCATAATGCAATCGGTGTGATGTCGGTGAGTCTTATTTGCTAACTTTTCGATGGCTTCCAAGTGATGATCACATAACGGTTAAGTGATGGTATTATTGGGGATAGACAAAAGGACTTATGATTGCAAAACCGAGGCGTAGCGTTCGAGGGAGTCTATCTTGAGCAACGTTTAGAACGTAGTGGTTATCAACCAGACAACACACAGAGTTAAAAGCTTTGGCTCTTTTAACGAACGTTTCTAGTTTGAGTCCCAACGGAGGCCAGAAAAATGTTCAACAATGATAGAATCACTTCAGTAATCTAGAATCACCCTCGATTCAATTTAAAATAAAGGAGTTGAAATTGGATGGAGTGGTACAAGACATTTCCTCAACTGGCATAACTCTCCAACAAACTTAACAGGTGTTGGATTTGCCACACCGGAACCGATCAACATAATGGGTGAGGATTTTATGGAAAACACTCACAGGCGAGGTGGGCGGTCCTCGTTGGCTGACTGAATGGGAGAAGTCATGAGCAGAGCGACTGGATGTGCGTTGGGCAACTGTGAGAAGTGCACGTGCTGTCGAATCGCCGGACGTCACTTCTCCGTCGTTTGGACCCGGACCGACGGGGATTGAACAAAAGTGCAAGGGTAAACAGACCGGTCGTGATGCAGCTGGACCTCCGGGAGCCGAACCGTGAGACGGCATCGATCGAACCTGAGTGGAAGATGGCACAATCTGTCCTGTTTGAGCATCCACACAACGCCAGATTAACTGCTGAGTTGAGGATGCTGACCCAAGTCGACTGGTTGGCACATTCGCCATCACTTCATCAGTAGCCAGAAGAAGATGCTGACAGTTAAGGATTGGGACTTGGGATTCCTGTAGCAGGCGATGGCAAAGTTGGATGGAATCACCCCATAAACAGAAGGTTGGCCGTTGCTTTCCAATTAATCCTACCAAAGCGGGGCCAGTGTGTAAGGCTGGAAGAAAGACAAAGAAAAGGGTGTCTCATATTGAAAACACATTTGAAACCTTTCAGATCATCTAAGTCAAGTCAAGTCAAATCAATTATTTGCTTTATGCACCCCGAAAGGTGGATATTA